AGAAGAATGGAGGAGAGTGGATTGCGGCGTGGCCACCCCCCCAGAGGGTGATTTCTTGCTTTCTGTCTCTCTATCTTTCTGGTGAGCACACGTGCCCTATAGCAAAAACCTCTCCATAAAACAAAAAAGGTACTTTTTCTATCCTTAGTTTTTTTAAATTCATGATGATGATTTTTTATTCATGGTATTAGCATTCAGTAGACCCTTTCCATCTGGAAGCTCGTATCTTTCATTTTGGGTAATTATTTTTCAAATACTACCTTTGAAATTTCTTAGCTTCCTTTCTTTCTTCGTTCTTTCTATCTTTCTGTCTATCCTTCCTTCTTGCCATTTGCGAGAGGGTGCATGCACTCACCAGAGAAAGAGAAGGAAAGTGAGGAAGCAAGCCCTCCCGTAGTGGATAGCCCCCACAATCCCTTCTCCTCTTCTCCCTTTAAGATTTTGGGTATGCACGCCCATGTGCTTGGCATGTTTTTCAAGCCACCAGGTCCAGGACTCAAACCATGCAGTTGGGCATGTGGGGTCCAGCTGCCATAACCACCATGCCATTAGTTAACCCTCCTTTTTTTATTTCTAGAACTCTTATTTTTTGGATTTTGACATACTCCACACATACACACAAATTTATTCTCTGATTTTCTTAGAAAAATATTTTCTCTCTTGTTTTCTGTTGGATACATGCTATATCATGGATAAATCTGAAAGCATTATGCTAAGTGAGAAAAGCCAGTCCTAAAAAGATCACATATTATATGATTTCATGTATATAAAGTGTCTAGAACACTTACATCTATAGGGACAGAAAGGAGATAAGCCATTGTCCGAGGCCGGAAGAACTAAAGTGACTACTGAAAGATGTAAGGTTTCTCTTGGTGTGAGGAAGTGTTCCAAAATTGATGTCGGTGATGGTTGCATACTCCTTAAATACACTAAAAATCATTGTGCTGTGTACTTGAAATGAGTCAATTATATCTCAGTAAAGCTATTATTATAGCTCAGTATCTATATTGAGTATGTTCTTATATCTCAGTAAAGCTGTTGCATTAAAAAAAAATTGATTGAAAGTAGAATCTATATGGCATATGTGATTTTACACCCTGAATCAGGGATCCTGAGTCCTGGAACATTATTGGGACAGTTGAAGACATTAGCACCACATATTGGCTAATATTTCTGTATTGTCAGTTATAAAGTTCTTAGATACTGTGATTACCTGTAAGAGCGTACTGTGGGCTGGCAGGTGGCGTGGTGAAGAGTACTGAACTCCCACATGGCCAACTTTGGTTTGAGTCCAGGACCCAGCGGCTTGCTTTCTCTCTCTCTCTTCCTCTCTGGTCAAATTGAAATAAAGTTCAATAAAATAGTTCTTAAGGAAAAAAAAAAAAAAAGAGTGTATTGTGCTTAGGTAATACATTCTGAAGTATTTACAAGTGAAGTATTAATAATACCCACAACTTAACTTCGAAATGTATGTGGTCCCCAAAAAAGGTGTATATGTGTGTGTGTGTGTGTGTGTGTGTATTTGTGTATAATAAAGAGATAAAGCAAACATTGACAGTTGTAAATGTCTTTTTTTGAGAGGATTTTTTTTTTGAGTTTTTTTTTGTTATAGGGCGCATGCACTCGCCCGAAAGACAGAGAGAGACAGAGAGACACAGAAAGCGAGAAATCACCCACCAGGGGGATGGCCACGCCACAGTCCCTTCTCCTCCATTCTCCTCTCGGGATCTTGGGCACACATGCATATGCACCTGGTGTGAGTTTAAGCCACCGGGTCCAGGACTCAAACCTTGGTTGGCTATACAGGAGTCCAGTGACATAGCTATTACCCCAATTGTTGGTCCCATGACAGTTGTAAATGTTAATTGTCATTATTATTTTAAATTTTTTTCTGTGGGTTTGAAAACTTTCAAAATAAAAAGGGGGGAAGTTTAATTGCTACTAGGTTTGACCAGATTTGTGATCTATATTATTGCTATGAGAATTCAGAATTTCTAATTTCACTGTTTATTTTTAATAATGTATTTTGTTTTTGTTATAAATACATAACACTTAATAAGATTTTAGAAAATACAGAAAATATGTAAATTTGGCACTTTAAAAAAAAGTGAATGTGTTGGGACTAGCAGTTGGTGTAATGGCTATGTCGCTGGACTCCCATATAGTCAACTGTGGTTCGAGTCCTGGACCCAGTGGCTTTAACTCACACCGGATGCAAGTGGGTGAGTGCCTCCAAGAAGAGAATGGAGCAGAAGGGATTGTGGCATGGCCATCCCCCGGGAGGTGATTTCTCACTTTCTCTCCTCTGTCTCTCTGTCTTTCTGGGGAGTGCACGTGCCCTGTAGCAAAATCTTCTAAAAAAAAAAAAAAAAAAAAAAGTGAATGTGCCAGCAGATGACGTGGTGGTGATGGCGCCAAACTCCCACATGGCTGACCACAGCTTGAATGCCAGACCTGGTGGCTTAAAGTTTATGCCAGGCATGTGTCCATGTGTGCCCCAAGTCCCCAGAGAATAATGGAGGAGAAGGGATTGCAGCAAGGTCATCCCCCTGGGGGGTGATTTCCCACTTTCCCCCCCTCTCTGTCTCTCTCTGACAAGTGCAGGTACCCTATGGAAAAAAAACTGAAAAAAAAAGAAAGAAAAAGTGGATTGAGAGCACAGTGCATATGGCCAGGGCTTTTGGACTAGTGGCTTTCATTGTCAATAACTATAGACCACAGTCAGATGTCTAAACCTTTTTTCTCGAGCTGCTCATTTCTCCTGGCGTGAATCTTCTAGTCTGCTCAGGAGGTATATAACCACTCCTGCCTGTATTCTGGTAGCTAAGAGAGGGAATGCTGCTGATGGTCTCCCCTTCAGTACATAACCCCCTTTTCCCATAACCCCCTTTTCTCGGGTGACATTTTTGACCCTCCCTTATTACTAGGTTCAGATCCTCTATTGTTTAAACTTCTGCTGTCTTTTGGGGTAGTGAGGGGAGAGAGGCCTGGCCCTTGGTGTCAAGGAGAAGATCTGGGTTGTGAGTGTTTAGAGACATTCCACCTTACCATTCTGTTTTCCACCCCTGCTTGTTCCCAGATATTTGGCGCCCCCGTGCTTTATGCTTTCCCCATCTCTATAGCTGAAACTAATTTGATTTTTGACTTTTTTGGTTTACCAGCCCCTATAGGCCTAGGTTTTAGCTTTCCTATAGGTTTTGGTTTACCAGCCCCTATAGGTTTTAGCTTTCCCTGCCAAGTCAGTCACCATTTGTGTATCCCTCCCAAATGCTGTTAACGAAGGACCAGCAGACTGTGTAATGGCTATGTTGCTGGGCTCCCACATGGCCCACCATGATTTGAGTCCTGGACTTGGAGGCTTGAAACTCATGCCAAGCGCGCGTGTATGTGTGTGTGTGTGTGTGCCTGAAATCCCAAGAGGAGAATGGAGTAGAAGGGATTGCAGTGTGGCCATCTCCCCTGAGGGGGTGATTTCTCTCTTTCTGTCTCTGTGTCTCCAGTGAGCACATGCACCCTATAGCAAAAATCTCTCTTTAAAAAAAAAAAAATCCTGTACGGGCCCAGCAAGTGGCATGGTGGTTAAAGGCGCTGGACTCCCACATGGCCGACCACGGTTCAAGTCTCGGACCTGGTGGCTTGCTTTCTCACTTCCTCTCTCTCTCTGATCAAACTGGAAAATAATAATAATAATAATAATAAATAAAGTTAAATAAAATAATTCTTTTTAAAA